GGCGCCGAGCCTTTATTTTTGTTTTATTTATTAATTTTTTGGGGAGGAGGGACAGAATCTCACTTTGTTTGCCCACTGTAGAGTACTCTGCTGTCATAGCTCATAGTTTGAGAAACCTCAAACTCTTCGGCTGGAGCCATCCTCTTGCCTCAGCCTCCCGAGCAGCTAGAACTACAGACACCTGCCTTTTTTTTTTTTTTTAAGGAGAATTTGGCCTCCCAGAGTGCTGGGATTACAGGCATGAGCCAATGTGCTCATTCTTGTTTTATAACTTTTAAATCTAGGACTTATTTGTTTTTTAAAACTGTTTCTTTACCTCCAGTCTCTACCTTCTTTTCTATTTATTAATATCTGTGGCTCCATGCCTGTGGCTCAAGTGGCTAAGGCACCAGCCACATACACCTAAGGTGGCTGGTTTGAATCCAGCCTGGGCCCGCCAAACAACAATGATGGCTGCAACCAAAAAATAGCCGGGCATTGTGGTGGGCACCTGTGGTCCCAGCTACTTGGGAAGCTGAAGCAAGAGACTCGCCTGAGCCCAGGAGTTGGAGGCTGCTGTGAGCTGTGATGTCACGGCACTCTACCCAGGGGGACAGCTTGAGGCTCTGCCTCAAAAAAAAAAAATCTGTGAATCACCTATTTTCTGTTTTGAAATTTTAGGCTGCTGGATTAAATTTTGATAAAATGGGCCAGGTACATGGCTAGCACCTGTAATGCTAGCATTCTGGGAGGCCAAGGAAGGAAGATTATTTGAGCTCAGAAGTTCGAGACCAGCCTGAACAATAGTGAGACCCTGTCTTTAATAAAAATAGAAAAATTAGCTGGGTGTCTTGGCAGGCACCAGTAGTCCCAGCTTCTCAAGAGACTGAGGTAGGAGGATTGCTTGAACCCAGGAGTTTGAGGTTGGTGTGAGTTAGGCTGATAACACAGCACTCCAGCCTGGGTGACAGATTGAAACCTTGTCTCAAAAAAAATTTTTTTTAATAAAGTACCTTTCAGCTCTACCAGTTTTAGCTTTATAATTATATGATTATATGACCTCTTCAAGTCTGACATCTCATGATTTCAACCAGGACCTGCTAACATGACGTAGAAAATAATCTAACCACCTGTCTTTGTCCACACACAAATCCCAAAAGTGATTTTATGACATTTGATTCAAAATGAGGATTACATTAACCAGATACATCAGCAAACCTTAGAAACATTGGAACTTTTCATTTCACAGATGACCCATCATCTTTCAAACCGGAGCATCCTCTCTCTCTCTTCCTTTTGCCTTAGCCTAAGCAGATTCCTTCATTAGGATGGAAAGACACAAAACTGGCTAAGATCTATTACCATATTTTCTCCAAAACCTCAACATTTGGGCTGTGCACAAATGTTTATGATTTAAAATGTCCATCTGTTTCCCTGGGATTATTGACAGTCTCAATTGTTTATAGTCTGTGCCAACACTGAGAGGAGTGAAGACAATTCAGCTTTTTGGAATATTTTGCTTGGAGCCTGAAAAAATCAAAGACAAGAGGAGCAGCAAGGTGGAAAAAAAAAAAAACAAAACTAAAGCTGACTTCATAAGAAAGTGTCAACCACTGTGTCTTGCTCTGGTGTGGTTTGAGGTGAGTTGGTATTACCATTATTGGTAATTGCATATGAGTTGGCATTATTGCATCAGTGTACAGGATTTTCTATTGTGCCATTTTATGAGTTTTTAACAAGAGCACACAGTCATATAGCCACAACCACAATTGAGATATAGAACAATTAGACTATTGCAAAAAGTTCCCTCATGCCCCTTTATATTCAACCCCTCCCGATACCCCAGCTCCTGATGACATTGATCTATTTTCTGTCCCTATACTTTTCCCTTTTCCAGAATGTCACATTAATGCTATATAGTTTTTGAACCCAGCTTCTTTCACACAGCTTAATTACTTTCAGATTCATCCATGTTATACATATCAATAATCCATTCCTTCTTTTTTTATTGTGGTAAAAAGTGTTAAATTTACCCTGTTACCCATTTTTAAATGTATGGTTTGCACTATTGTGCAGTTCTCCAGAACTTTATCATCTTGAAACACTGTAGGCTTGGTGCTTGTGGCTCAAGCAGCTAAGGCACCAGCCACATACACCTGAGCTGGAGGGTTTGAATCCAGCCTGGCCCGCCAAACAACAATGATGGCTGCAACCAAAAAATAGCCGGGCGTTGTGGCAGGCGCCTGTAGTCCCAGCTACTTGGGAGGCAGAGGCAGGAGA